GCTAACACCCCCTCGAGCCGGCCCAGCTAAATACACTGCTTATCCCAGGACCATCCCATAAATCAGTGAGGAAAAGCACCTCTGACAAGGTCTCACCTCCATGGCCAGCAACCCTTAGCTGGCAGCCGGCTATACTTACATATACATTACTTTGGAATAAATGGACTAATGGCTTTTCAGAGTAACTTTCCTAATAACCACCTCTGCGGATATACGGATGGTTTATCCAGCAAATTTAATACAATTATAATAAATCCCACAAAGCCCTGCAACCGTCCTACCTCCACCCTCCAAACATTTTGGACGCACGGCAAAGTTTAAAGTTTTATTGAGCATACAATAGAGCATGAATTGAATCGTTTTTAGGGGAGAGAAAACATGCTTCATTATTGTACGACTTGGTTTCAAACAACAAAATTGTTGAATTGAAGATTCTGAGAATGTCAGTGGGTTTAAACACAGATTCAAGCTATTTGTGGCATTGTGAATTAAGCAGAGGAGAGCTACAACAGCAGCAATATTCAAAATGACACATTCCCCCCGGAGGAAACTGTTTAAACATCTGAACATTTCCCAACATCTCTTTCTTCTTTGGTTTTGTTGTTTTGACTTTGTTTATTCATCCTTGTCTCGAAGCGCCGGCTTCATCCGCCGCTGCCTTAACTTGTTCCCAACAACTATGATTCCTCAACACGAAAGAATGAAAGAAACTCTCAATGAAAAACACAATCTTTTCATCTTGGGCATGAGTCAATTACCAGGGCAGCATTACTGAACACGCTGCATGTGTGTTTTCTTCTCAAGTGTTCAGAGAATCGTCCTCTGGACTGAACCGAGGATGTATTGATTCTGACATGTTTATTTCCATGGCAAGGACATGATTTCCAACAAGACCAGCACATTTAGCTTTTGTTGTCCATGTGTTGGCTGGAATGCTCCCAGTAACTTTTATGGGTTTTTTAAACAATGCTTTGACGGACATGGACTATTGTAGTTTGTGTGCCAAGATTTCTTAATTTTTATGCATTTCATATTGTGCAGCTCACACCAAAGGCAATGGGAATATTGGATTTGACACTAGGGTTTGATCATCACAGAATACTTTGCTCACTGTGTCCCGGTTAATTTCCAGATCTTGGTAAATAGATTTCTCACTGTAGGCAAACAGTTTGCACAAGCTGTTTCTTTATTAGCTGCTGCTATAATTGTACAATGCTACAGAAGTTAAAAGTAATATTTCCTTAAAGATGTAGTAGATGATGTTGTAGTGTAGATTTGCCCACCTTTATAATTTAGAGGGAGTTTTTTAAGGAGGGAGCTGCTTTTGCACAGTTGGTTACATAATTTCACTGGTTTAGGTGGTTTTACCAAACATAGAGGCTGTTTTGTTTGTTTAAAATCCTAAATGCATAGCAAGCTGGTCTGTCATCATTTACAATTTCACTGAAGTTATTATGTATCATAACATGGCAGTTACATAACATTAGAGATACTTAGAGCCCACTATCTGCTCTTTAACACTTGCCTGAAGCAATAACAGCATTAAACTGTTCTGGATGCAAATTTGACTTGAAATAAAACTGAGTTGTGCTGAAAACAGAGATATATAATCAGTGTTTTTTTCTGTATTATTTGTGCATATGTGTTTTAATTTCTTCCCTTTGAAAAAAAATCTTAGCTATACAAGTTAAGCTGATGTGTTACACTGTCAGTCATCGAATCGTAATTGTAGTTTCCGACTTCAGGCGTGTTTGGAAACTGTGTGTGTGTGTGTTTTGGTGTGTGTCTGAAAGTAAAAGAGTGTGAGTCTGCAACCTTGCAGTCTGGAAAGATAAAGTGAAATGATGCTCCAGATGGGAACATTAATAACAAGATGAAAAGAGGAATTCTTTGAGTTTCTGTCATAATGAATATTAATTACTACAGAGGCTTAGCACCAAGAAACCTGACAATAAGACAGATATTTTTTTGTGATTAATGAAAAATACTTCCTCACACGGCCTCTCCTGCTCTTATCATGGAAGACAGTCTGTAAGAAGAAAGGACCCAGGCTGCTCCTCAGGAGAATTCATATTGTTCTCGCATAATATAAATCAATACAAGGCTCGGGGAGCTCCTGCATCATTAAATGGCTTTGTGGAAACTTAGCAGGAGAGGAGCCACAGCTGTCCCAGGTGCTATATTCCTGCATAGAAACTAAAATACTATACAGACACATAAAACCTCACAAATGGTTACAAGAATGACAGCACTGTTCCAGAACACCTTAGCTTATATTACTTTATTTGGACAGCCCAGTGTTGATGTATAACTGTGTGTTTACTATTTTTAAACCTATAACCCTGACTCAGACATTTAGTACTCTTCAGCAAAGCTAGCGTGGCTCTAAGGTTGGTCTGGTGGGCAGTCTACCACTTTGGTCCAGACTGAAATATTAACTATTGGATGGATTGAGATGAAATTTTGTACGGACATTCAAGGTCCACAGAGCATAAGCTTCTGAATTTGGTCATTCTCTGACTTTTCCACTAGAGCCACCAGCAGTTGGCATTAAATTTGGTATAGACGTACACATAGCCCTCGGGTAGAATTCTAATTACTTTGGTAATCCCGTGCCATTTAATATAGCACTATCATCAAGTCAAAATTGAATTAGAAAAATGTTAGCATGCTGCTTGTCCAGTCTGAGCACAGCTGGTTCAACATGGTGTTCGGTTTGGCACTGACTGCTATTGTTCATCAAACATTTGTCAACAAGACAATTATACATTTAGCAAAGGTCGCTAAAAAAACGAGAAATTGAATCAAGAAGTTTACATTCTGCCTTTTTTCTTCTTTTTTTTTTATATTGCCATTGTTATCCAGACATAGCCTATAGAGTGAACCTCTCGACATACTGTTGAGTAAGGCTCTATATCACAGCTGAATTGTTATTTGCCTCATTACATTGTCTGATTTTGAATTAAGTTGACTTACTTACAAAACCTGTAAGTTCCAGTTTTATTTAGTATCTCATTTGACGTTGTCAGCATGCTGGTGTTGTTATTTTTTTAGCACAAAGCACCTGTGTGCTTACAGCCTTACAGAGCTGCTACCAGCTTTATAGACTTGATTCAGACACTTAATATTTTTCACACAATAATCAAGTATCGCTGGAACCTCTGACCTGGTAGCTTTGTGTTCTTCATAGAGTATTACCAACATTAATAAACTGCAATTGTGATGTTTCTAAAATGTTTGCCTAAAGATGTTAAAAAAGTATTTTATTGGGTATATTATGTTCAATTTTGTGACACAGATTTTCCACAGTTTTGTGCATTATTCGCAGTCACTGGCCTCCTTTCCACAGCAGACTTCATGTCCTCAAGGAATAGGCAAATATAGCCAATATGCTAAGCTCAGGGGTTTAGGTTGCAGGTCATTTCCCAGTGGAATCAGCCGGCTCCTGCAGAGGGCTTGTGATAAGAGTGGATATTGGAAGCTATGTAAACCTTGTTAAGCTGCCCTTCCCCTGTGTGCAGGGGGGTAATCCTAAACACCTGGGCTAGTTAACTGGGATCTGGTGGGATTAGTGGCTCCGTGAGGCAAACCAGACCATGCTTCTGGTTAAATCCAATTCCATTCTTATCTTTTCACATTCTCTCTTTTATAATTCAAACTCAATCCAGCAGTTACTCAACAGAGTTATTTTATCTGCCTTTATCTGTTCTTCAGGGCTTCGAGAACTAGTCAAGCATAAATGTGTCCTGGTTACTTGATTGAACGTCCTGCTACTGTACATTACATTTTAAAAGTTGAAATGTATGTTTTAGCCCAATTAAGGCTGCTTGTTTTGTTTGTCATTTAAAAAACAAAATTTGTATTGCTTTGGTTTAGCCATGCTAGCAGCATGTCAGTCTGTTGGTTGGGCCACCACTCTCTTCCAAACAAAAACATCTCAACAGCTACTGGATACATTACCATGCATTTTTATACAGACATCCATGGTCCATGAGTATGGATCCTGTTGAATTTTGTTATCCCCTTACTTTTCCTCTGCTATCACCACGAGATTGACATTTTTGGTTTTATTGAACTATTTCAACAATTCTAGGCCATATAATTTGGTACAGATATCAATGGCATCCAGAGGATAAATCCAAATTTTCATTTTACTTTAGTGATCTCCTGACTAAAGACCAAATATCTAAATAATACTAATGACATTCCCACCAGCCTCGGCTGTATATTGTGTTTAATTTAGTTTTTTGTGTCTACTTAGCAAAGGTTAACATGCTTAAATGCTAATGTAAGATGGTGAACATTATACCTTCTAAACATCTGCATGTTAGCATTGTCTTAGCATGCTGATGTTAGCATTTAGCTCAATGCACTGCTGTGCCTCAGAGAGCCACTAGCAAGACCATAGACTGTTTCCTTTTAGCCCAGTGAAGTCATTGTTGAAAGCTTCATATCAAGATATCATTATAAATATTGCATTTTTGCTGTTATTCAATAGCTTAGAGCAATGGCACCAGTTCAACCAAGTTTAACATCACAATTTTGGCAATATGATTAGATAGATAGATCACCTTTCATGGAGTCCACCATGTTGAACTGCCATGTTTCTACAATAGCCAAGAACGGACAAACCAAACACTGGCTGTAGATGGGGCCTTTCACATTTTTTGCGGCCACCATAGTTTCTCCTACACACTTCAAAGCCTGTTCTCATTCCCACGTCATCAAATAGAGTGGTGTGCAGTGTTCAGTTAGATGCAAACTTGAACTCTTGAACTTCACTGATAGATGCAACTGAATCCTACACAGTGGTCCTTTAACAAAGCATTACCCTTTCTCCACTCAAAGTACCATTTGGTCTTTTACTCTGAGTGGTCAAATGGAGCATGGATTTTGACATTTTGAAAAACCTCTTTTGTCATCTAAATATGACAACCATCATCAAGTATATTTCAGCCTCATCAGCTAACCACCCTCTCCCTCTTTCCTCCTCTTTCTAGACGTGGACGAGTGTGCAGAGGCGCTTGACAACTGCAGCATCGATGCCATCTGCCAGAACACCCTGAAGTCATACAAATGTATCTGCAAGTCGGGCTATAAAGGGGATGGCAAACATTGTGAAGGTAAAAGTCTTACTGGATTAATGCGGTCATTTTCACCTGTGGTTGGAGGCAGAAACCTCTGCTCCCCTCTGTAGAAGCACATGGGGGATTTTAACAGTAAACTGAAGTAAAAGCCACATTTCTCATGTTGAATTGCCTTATCTCTCTGAACGTAAGCCCCTGGGCCAGTGACAGGTTTGATAAGAACTTCTGTCTCACTCAACATAACTCATTAGTTTCAAGACTCTCCTGAAGAGGGAGGAGAGACGAGGGAGAAAGTGGCGGACGGAGGAAGGGGAAAGCCAGGTGCAGAGTGCTCCTTTGTGACAAGATGAAATGAAGCAGTAAATTTCCTACACATGTTAGAGGAGAGAATTAAGATAGCGGCTGAAACGGCAGTCAGAGACCCTGCCAAGCAGTCAGGGATATTTCCACAGCCAGAGGCAGACCTCGTAGACTGTCAGACACAAGTCTGTTTTTCTAGCCTTTTTCAATGTGCCCAAAGCCTCCGGATCATTATATCCCACAATTTTTATTAGTGTTATTACAAAACCATATTTCACAATGTCATTTTTTTCCTTACTATTATTATTCTTTCATTTACTTGACCGAATGTTTTTCATGGCCCTCTGCCTGTAGGTCATAAAAGTTTGCTTTATTGAATCTATTGTAAAATGTGTGCCAGGTTGGGTTTCCATTGAACTGACAGTTTGCTGATGGCTTCTCAAGGCTGATACTACTGGTAAATACTGGTAAAATTCAAAATTCAAAAGCAACATTCATAAAATAAGAAAGTTGTAGCTTTGCTCAGTGCTGCACTTATATGTATAAATAGAGTGCAGCAAAAAGCATGCAGACAATGAAAAAGAAAAGCTTTCTTATGTTTCTGTGCTGGTTAGCTTAAACAGCTCCTCCACCCTGCTTATCTTTATAGTCTATGGTTCAGATTTGCTCTTTATGTTTTGGTGGTCTAAATGTGACCTGTCAATAGCTGTAATTTTATGAGTCTGTATCAGTTGAAGCACAATCTTTGATCTTCAGGGAATGCTACTGATTTGTCCTCTGTTGTTAAATTATAGGTTCATATTTTTTTAGTTGTTCTGATAGTCAAGTTCCCATATGAACACTGAAACAGGTAAGCAGTCCTCCTATTTATACTGGCTGATAAAAGGTCCCTTCCTAGTGGGCTTTAAATGTAAGTGAAGGGCCTTGTTTTGTGCAGATTATCTGAAGCTAATATGAGGCTTCAGCAGTCTGATTTAGACAAATATTGAAGGTATCTTCCAAAGTTACTGTCTTTTTAATATAGAATTCCCTCTTAGAGTTTCCCTGGACTTTTCTTGTTGACCTGCAGTGGTGGGATGGTATCAAAAAGGTCTCTGTGGTCTGTGAAGCTTTTCTGAGGAACTTCAACTGGCCAAATATGACAATGAACCAAAAACACACACAGAAGTTTTAAGGGCAATGTAGTTTAAAAAAAAAAGTTTTTTATTGTCAATGACTTTATAAATGTGATTTCCAATAGTTTTTTCATACTGGCTTTTATTATTATTTATTTTTATTGTTGTTTTAGAAATACATAATAATGATTGTTTTTAGTTTCTGCTTTGTCCTTCTAAGAAAAAAATACTGATCGCAGTTGGCTTTTATGATTTAGATTAGTAGACGTTGAAAACACCAGGGACAACACTGGAAATAAGTCCAGGACCATATCTTTCTGAAAAAGTCTGATTATATTGTACTTTCTTACATATTAGAATCTTAGTCAGTAAACCAAACTGAAAGCTGACTATACTGAGTATTAAATCTATTACATTTCAGCCTTAATATGCTTGTCCAAAAAAACAAATCTGCATCTTGTAAATATAAGGGGAAAACACATCCTGGCTTAGGAGGACGTGACAAGCATCGAATAAAAACAAACTGAAAGCTATTGGAGAAAAATCACTTTTGTGTTATCATGTGGTGGGTGTTTCAGGTTTAGAGAGGAGTCGAGAAGTGATGGGTGATTGTGTGCCGTGATCGGGGAATGACAGAGATGTGTGGGAAGCAGAGAAGCAGGGAGCAGGAGAGTGTTTCTTTGTTTCAGTCCCATCCCTCTGCTGTCAAGTACAATTAAGCCCTGAGTGAGACAGCCTCAAAGAGGAGCTGAACGACCGGGATCATCGGCCCTAAATGGGCCAGTAAGTGCTGTGTGGAAGTGCGCTGTGTTCTCCATCCACCTTGTCTGGGTCTCCTCAGTACGAGTCCCTCAACCATCATCATAACCATAACAGACAACTCCACTCTGGCTGTCATACCAATCTGCAGTCTCACTTTATCTTTTTGCTTCTGCTCCCTCATTTATGTGTCACATTTCTTCAGTTTTAGCTACTAGGATTGATGAAGGGTTAGATCGATTTAATGCTCCGATGCTCAAAATTTGCCTTTTATTAAGTATTGGACCAGTCAGCCTGTAATGTTAATAAGTCAGTACTAATTTAATGGAGATTCCTTTCTGGCGACGTACGTCTCACGCATGGAATAGTTTAATTTTCCATAAGAACTTTATTTCCTTATTACTTTTAATTGTCCAAGTATGTGTTTTGTATAAATAGACAATTACGTACTTATAGCTGCAAATGTTACAACTGACTTCATTCTCTGGTACACGGCAGAAAGCTGTGGGTACCCCATACTGGACAAAAAACTGTTTCAGAGGCTGATACATCCTGCCAACAATAAAATTCCAAAGCAATGGAAAAAACAACGTTTTGGCAAGAAAGTGGCAAAAAAAAATTGGATATTAAATATGACATAAAATCAGTATTAGGCTTTACAAACAAAACAATATCAGTGTAGCTCTGGCATGTACCCAAGTTACATCAGTAACAGGTGAACCAACTAATTACCACAGCTGTTGTCTTGTACCCTGTTTACCTCATAAGAGCTCTTATGAAAGAAGAGATGAAAAAAATAATTTTAATTATCTTTATTACACCAAATGGCTTAATTGCACTTTGGAATATTTTGACATTTTTATGCTTCTGCTTTCTCACAGAGAGTTAGATGAGAAGATTGATACCACTCTAAGATAGGTTTGCAGCGGTATGGCGATACTGTGGTCACGCTGACATTGTATGCAACCAAGAAGTCGCTACTCTGCACAACCCCTGTGTAAAACCCAAAGGAAATGCTTATGGTTTTGAATAGCGTAGACAACAAGGTTCAAGTTATTCCCGGTGATCACATTGAGATTAATAGTGTCAATATTTTTGACAAATGGTTTAGTGATATAACCATAAGAGAACTACTGAAAGTCTAACCCAGCAGCTGTTTTCAAATGAGCCCCTCACCATGAGGTCAACTGGTACACAACATGGAACACAGTTTCTTATCGCCAATAAAGTGAAAGAGGACTCCTTCACTATAAAGCAAAGATGCCACCCCTGTAATGAAAGAAGTCTGCAAATACTGTCCTGCGGTAAGGAATAGGAGTCTGTAGCACACCTGTTCGTTATGTTGTCCAAATTCAGGAAAGATTTGGAAAACTACTTGACACTTTATACTACATACACTGTCGGCTGCTCTCTTAGGAATTCCAAAATTCATTTCATTTTAAATCTTTTCAACACACTCGGTAAAGTCTTTATCCTCAAGAAAAATAAAAGAAAAAAGCTATAAAATGCATGACATATTTATCAGAATATGGGATTGTAACTTTGTGACATTTCATTGTAGAGATTCATTCTTTTTTAAACTCCATTTACCTCTTTAGTTACCTTTATTCTCTTCATTGTATATTATTTAATTTATTCAGGATATTAGAAATAATTGAAGATTCAGGACTTATGTTACATTTGTCTTTAATTATTGTAGTCAGAATATTGCATTGGCAAAAAAATAAATTGTAAAAATATTCTTTTAAGGCTGCTCCTACATACTAAACCCTAGCCGGATCATGATTGCTTTGAGTTTTAAAGGACCCATTCTCACATCCTTTTGTATCCTCTCTCTGCAGATGTCGACGAGTGTGCAACTGAATACAACGGTGGCTGTGTCCATGAGTGCATCAACATCCCAGGAAATTACAGGTGCACATGCTATGATGGCTTCCGCTTGGCACATGATGGGCACAATTGTCTAGGTGAGTGTGATGTTTGAGAGTGTGTGCACTTAACACAGCATGTGTGTGTGTGTGTGTGTGTTGAATAGACCTTTCCCTACACTTTTTCCCTACGCTGACGTAATTATGTAGGAAAACATTGTTCCATAAGAGGCTTTTGTCAGGAGAACGTGTATATTAAGCCGCATGTGTCAAATTTCAAACTCAGCCTGACATAACCCATGCGGCTGAATAAATTCTTCTCTCTGCGTGTCTAAGGTCACATCATGAATGGTAATATATGTTTCAGGGCTGAATTGAGCTCTTATTATACTGCTGCATTAGATATTAGCTATTTCTTCATTTTACATAACAGGTAGTCTCAAAATGTGTTTTCACAAAAGAAAAAAGGCGATATTTTTTAATAAGTCTGACGAAAAGGAGTGAATTTATGAAGATCTTGACCCTGAGCTGGGAGCTCTGAGTGAGGCGTCAGCCGACCATACTTTCCCATGGTTTAATATTTCACCAGCGTGCCATTTATATTAACCTCACAGAGAACGCATTACACTTAAAAGGTTATGAAATGAAGGAAAAAATACCTTCTGCTGCTGTGAGCTGCTAAACATAGACACCATCTACCACCACCCCAGATTCAGTCTTTCTGTCTTTCTCCTTCTCTCCCATCCTACATTCCTTTTGGTTTTTTGTAACCACGAAGTCAGACCCTGCTGCTCCTCAGAAATCATCTCCTTCTTGGTTACAATCTCAGCATGATGCATTTCACTTGATATTGAAAGCCGACTCATCCTTGTAGCTGCTGTGAGTTTGTTGTAGAAGAAAGTAACGATGACTTGCTACAGCAGATTTCCCATTCAGGTGATGACAGAAAAAGTTATCAGCACTTGACAATGATTCTTTGTAAAAGGGCTTTTGCATGCGGGCACTCAAGGCAGCACACTCATATCAATCCCACATTTACTTGATGAGGTGGGATTAAGGCACACTGGAATGGAAAACACTTGCATCTTTAGATCGATAATAAACCTGTTCTGACTCGACGATGCCCTTGTGTCTCAGATTCTCTCTTTCTCTCATTCTTACTGTATTTGTCTCTTTCTTTCTCTCTCTCTCTCTCGCTCATGCGCTTGTATCTACAGTGTAAAGCGGGCTATTTTCCAAGCAATTTAGCAACAGCGTTCAGCTGTGCGTGGATCATTTGCTGTGCTGTGGATCAGCTCCTGCCTTGCGTGCAGGTGTGTAATTGCAATATATGGTTGTGTGGCTGCTGCTGTTGCATCAGACAGACTTGCATCCATCGATCCCTTTGATATAATTCGTCATAGTGAAACACACACTATCAAACAAACTTTCAAGTTTTTAACTTCTTCTGCAATGTTTTTTTTCCTGTAAATGACCTGTATGCAAGAGGGAAGAGGTTCTTAGGAAGTCTAAATTCCCTTATGTTCCTGTGAAGATAGATCCAATTAATTATTTAATGAGAAAATATTTTTTAATCCCAGCATAGCAAACAGAGCACAAAGACACAACAGATGGTATATATATATATATATATAGCTGTCAAGTACAAATCCAACTCTTGCCTTGAGACCTGAAAGGACTTCTTTTTCTTGAGAATTTAACCTCATTCTAATGCCTCAGCTCTGCAATGCTAAGGAAATAATCCTCAGCACAAACACAAGAGAGAAGAGGAAGAGGTATTGCCGATGTTTCATGTTAAGGCCCTAGCTTCCTCTTCCAGGTTTAAGCTTCTTTTGGCCCCTGAGAAAAGATTAGTCCCCTTGGCCCTGGAGTGGAGAGCAGCTAAGCAGCTGGTTCCCAGACGAGGTCAGACCCTCAGAGCCCTTATAGACCAGATGTGCCCGAGGCTGCGGAGGAGACATTCACCTGATCCTCAAAAGTTCACACGGAGTTTAAAGTCTGAGATCTTTAAGGAGCTTCTCTTTGGATATACCCCATGTTGTTTTTCCCACAAAGCTTCAGTGATTTTGTTTTATTCCTTCTGTTTTTCATGGTTACAGTTGAGCATAAACTCCCAGAGGTGTCCATAACTTCCTGCTCTCGGCTCTCTAAGGCTTTTCTTTAGCCAGCAGGCACCGGTGCATGTGTGTGACTGTCAGCTCAGGGACATGAGTTAGGCCAGCGCACGCGGATCCCTGTCGATGTCTTCTTTGTTTGCTCGCTGCTGCACGTGCCACACGGCTCCTTGTAATTGGATGTGTTGGCAGCATAATGACATTGGGCGGTGGCAGAAGGCGGCAGAGCGTGAAGCAGAACGCTGCCTGGTGCGCCTCACCGGGGACGCTCTGGTTTCTGAGGTCTGCCCTACACCCCACAAAGATGTCAGGGAGTCAGCAAGGTGGAAGCAATGTAATATCACAGCACACTGCTCCTGTCTGTGCGGAGTGAGATGTCACTCACTGTATAATTTACCTCACAGGGAGCTATTGTGCCCTCTCAAAACTCAATGAAGAGAAGAAGTGAAGCATATAAGAACTTGATTACATCTTTTATAACTGTCATGACTATTATCTTGCAGAGGTAAGGGAGGGATGGTATTTAATCACCACACCTCTTTCATGGCAACGCTGTAGAGGATTTTTACAGTCTTAGGAAAAACAGAGGAATCAATGTCAATTTAATCCAAAACACACATCCTCTTTAGAATGAAAACCAGATGCAGGAAGGCTATTAGTTCCCCACTGTAGCACCACCGTCCCCACATTTATGACCTATGTGTTTTGTTTGAGGTCCTACAGAAACCTGAATACCCTCTTATCATTGCTGGTTCGTTAAACTCTCTCAAGTAGCTTAATATCATATGCATCTGCACAAATACTTTCTTTACAACCACAAATCACAACATTTCACTTCTATCTGGAACTAAAAAGACACAAGTAAAGAGATTTCTTATGCTCCCATAAAGTGAAAATGCCACAATCGCATGCAGTGTGACTCACTGGGAAAAACAAAAGCAGGCTTGAAATAGACATTACAGATGTTTCACTGACTGCCACCATGCTGTAAAGGACATGCTTTTGTCATTGCTTTGTTTGCCTATATTCATCTGCTCTGTTAGTTGTACATGTTGCTCCCGGTTGCCAAAGAACTGATTTGGGGGTTTTGGGCTCCACACACGCATCTTAACAGGCCATGTTCCTTTGATTTCTATTGACCAACACTGATTTGGTTTGTATTGATTCAGCAGAGCTCAATTCCCTGTGCAATCTATAGGGAAATGGATGCCCTTTTACTTTAACCTTCCCCAAAGACATAACATGATCTATAACACAAAAGCAATGTCATTACAGCTTCAAAATGGGCTTTTGAAGAACAGTTTTCAGGAAGCAACCAAGAAAAGGTCACATCTGTTAACACTGTTTAGTATTTTGTTAATGGTTGTAATAATATAGTGGCATTGCTTTGTTTTTTTGCCAATCGCATTGAGAATGTCCCTCAGAAAAAGCTTCATCTGTCATCTGCCACAAAGTCTCTGAGTCTTCGCCCCGGCTGAGCCTGTATCCTTGCTCTTGTAATCCTTTGGGATCATATTGCAAGGTTGGCTAATCAAACAGGAGGTTTCAGACTGATGTATTATTGACCAGGTCCTGATGGGAAAAAGTAGTAATCAAAGAGCGTCACGCTGATTTGCTCCACAGCCTTTACTGCGCTCTTCAATGGATTCCTTTTAAGTGCATTGGCCACTCTTTCACGGCAGTAATGATAACCTCCGCACCCTTCACTTTTGCTTCACCTTTAACTCCTGAATATGTAAGATTGAGTTGGGGGGAATGATGGTCTGGTTAACTCTCTCCCATCAAACCCAGAGGAGTTCAGGATACTACAGGCACTGCTGGGGCTTAGTACTAACCCTCCTCACTTCCCCGCTGCAGATGCAAATACCCCGCTGTCTCCCCAGTTAGCAGTCACTTTGCTTTTGTTGTGACATGCACCGATCGGGTTTGGACAAGAGAGTCTCTCCACAGTTCAGAGGAGAGGAGCTGGAGTGATGAGTTAAAGGACGGATTTGAGATAGGTGCATTAGCTGGCTCCTGAAGACTATATCAACACACTCACTCTCTCTCCTCTCAGGATTGTTCAGTCCCATCCACCATGAAATGAACAATTCCAGCTGAGCCCACTGGCAGGGCTTTGGGGGAAACTCAAGCCTGAGATTGGGCTTAGGGACGTAAGCATGTAGCAGACTGGGAGCCATCAGACGTCAGTGCAGGGCCTCTCGTCTCCTTGGCATAAGGCTGTCCACCCAAACACTTATCCTGGGGTTTTGTTTTTAAAATACTTCCAGACTTGTTTTGGAGGAACACAGAAATACCATTTAGCATGATCTTAGCTCATAGTTTTTTATTTAGGAAAGAACTCAGCGAGAGATTGGACGTAGAATCTGTGCTTATTTACCAAAATGGTTACCTGGGAGACGGACCCAAAGTCTAAAAAGTCTGAGTTCAATCAAAGCTGTATTAGTTTTGTTTATGTAATAGTATAAAAATCGTCCCTCACTTCTGATTTAAGAATGAGACACTACAGTAAACAGAGATTTTATTCGTGTTTGCTTAGCAAATGTGAATCAGTTAGCTAAGTTAGACACAGTGGGTCAGGCAGACAGGAAGTGCTGGAATAAATGAATTGTTCAAAGCTAAATACTGTAAGTGTCGATATGCATCAACTTCCATTTTGCAATAGTCACCCACACTTCTATGATTTAGGGGAGTGATTGTTCTGCAGATGAAAGATCAGGACTTCCTGCAACATTTCAAATTATACAACTTCAGCTGACGTGTGTCAGACTGAGGCTGTGTACTCAGATGTCCTCGCAGGCCGGGTTCAAACCTGGCTCCTTGGTCACTGTTCATTCAAGTGGGTGAAGCAATGCGCTGTGTCACTGAACTCCAGAAGCAACAGAGAAAAAGAGGAAATCCTGTAATCCTGTTTAAAATAAGAAAGGATCTTGTTTTAATTGGAGCTGGCTGTGTATGTGCCACTCCTTCCTCACTGGTGCCTGCTCATCTACCAGAGCAGGACAGTCAGGCTCTGCAGTCCACCAGCTGTTTTGCTGCCTGTCGCTGCACATGGCTCCGATTTGCTGCCTTATTAAAGAGTGTGCGCCTCTTTCACTCCTGTAAATTAAACGCGCAAAGACGCCAGTGTCCGTCCATTCACCTCCTTGTCTCTGGTCTGTCTAGACCACAGAGACAGTTATGTCTGATCCAGACAGAAGCCAAGCAGTGGGATGGATGGACAACTTTGATGACAGACAGCAGTAGTTTTTCACTCTACCCGTGGCAAAAAAAAACAACCTCTGGGTCAGCAATAAATGCCCCCAAAGTCGCTGAACCTTTTAAAAAAAAAAAAAAAAAAAGGAGAGCAAAAGAGTTGAGCGTTTCTGCAAAATACGAGTTCAGGAGTTTCTGTAAGGCAACCACCGTGTTTACATGGCTCTAAAGCTCTGCGCAAGGCCAAATGTTATATATACAGTCAAGGCTATCTGAGAAACCAGCGGACATGGCCTCCGCAAACACAACCAATCTCTTAATCTCTCTCCGTTTGAACCTTCCTTTTCCCTTCGTCTCCTCGAGTGAAGCAGGGATAGAGCAGAGACATGTCTCATTTTTCAGAAGTGAGGCAGCCCTTTTAACTTGATTAAGATGGGTTTTTTTTTCCATCCTCTCAAGAGAATTTTTAAAAAATGTTTTAAGTCCAAATAACATGAGCACTTCTCCTGGCCATGCCAGAACCCCTTTCCGCTTGGAAATATTTGCTTTGGACGCCAGCCTTGCCCAGCACACAACACAGGCAATTATGGGAGCTATTTAAACAGGAGAGATCTACTGACAGGCGACGCCTCATTTGGAGGGATGAAGGAATCAGGAAATGAAACCTTCATTGATGCGCTGAGGGTATGGAAAGAGAATTCCCCTAGGCCCTTTGAGGCTGGTTGCATTTCTCATGGGCATTTTGTGCATACGTTGAGGACTGTTGTATTTGTGTAGCCTTTACATGTTTGAATTTTTGGGGTTTGCATGTGTGAGAGAGAGAGAGAGAAAGAGAGAGAGAGACTTTAGATGTGTTAGGATGTTTTCCCATATGAATTGTGGACTTTGGGTTTTGGTGCCTGCTAACAGTTTATCTGCAAAGGTGCAGCTGTAGGTTGTTGGCAGCTTTCGTCAACTCGAAGGTCTTTCTCTCTCCCTTGCTGCCACTTTCATGATCGAGAGATGAGACCATGAGGTCAACACCAAGGCAGCCACACAGTTGAATGAAAGTCTGCCCAAACTATATTTTTCTAAACTGTCCTTTACTCTGACTTGAAGTCTAAATGTTAACTTTGCAGAGCTTTTTTTTTTTTTTCTGAGTGCACCGCTTCGCCTGGCTGCAGAGTGATGCTTTTCCCATCGACCTTAACTGACATGACACATTGTTTTTAGAGGAAAGAGACAGTTCTGCTGATGGAATGTGAGAACAGGACAGCAGACTTGGCAAGCCGACGTGGGTCATGAGTGCTACCTGCCACTCACCTACTTATCAACCCCAGAGGATTCTGTCTAGCCAGGTGCCACTTTGTGAGCACAGTATGCGTGTGTTTATGCCTTTGGTAAATCCACATTTGTCTGCATTTCTGTGTGGAAAAAGAAGAGGACAGAGTGAAGTTTAATTTCTAACTCTGCCGGGCTGAGAATTCCCCAGAAAGGAAACTTAATCTAGAGGCCTTCTCAGACTGGACAAACAGACAGTAAATTAGTTTCGCATGACGGTTTATTAAAAAAAAAGCCTTGTGTATACAGCGGATTATTGATGCATCGAGCAGAGGGATGGATAAGGTTCTAGTGTGGTCGGTAGTGAGGGACAGAGCCCAGGTCTCCGGGGGAAGAGGGAATATGGAGTGTCACCTCCAGAGCCACATCGCAGTCACGCACAGGGGAGGCCAGGGCCACTAAGCTCCGCAGCACGCCAGGCAAATAAAAAGCAGCGAAAAAATGACATTGTGCAAGATCTTTCATGTTGAAAATAAACAAATATATCAAAAGATTTATAGATGTTCCGCTGCTGTTCATTTGTTTCTTTTGTCGAGTCACACAATGAGTTGGAAAAAGTTTTGTGCCGTTAGGAGAGAACAGCTGGAAGTGCACAATTCATTATCGTTGGAAATGAAGTCAGCAACTCTCGTTTGTGGTCAGTTTCCCTTTCTTGCCCCGTGGCAGGACGAGGCCTCAGGCGACACCTTTGTAAATGCTCTGCCTTTGTACGCACTTGAGGTGGATTCACATGGTTGCTCGTTACCCTCCTGCTCCCCCTCCCCTCCTGTCTCATACGCTTTCCTCTTTCCATCTCTACTTTTCCTCTCCCTCCTCCTCCTCGCCCCCCTCCCTTCCTCCCTCTCCCTGCATTCCTCCCGTCATGGGGCTGACAGACACTCGTCATCAGCAGGTACTCTGGTCCAGGTGGATCAGGTTTCTCACTTGCCAGGAGATTGTGCTGCATGAGCATTTTTATGGCTTAGTGCTGCACAGTTGGAGGTTTTCAGTGCAACTCTGGTGTGCTGCCATGTCAGATAACCTTTAAGACAGACGCTGCCTCTTCAGACAGCTTAACACAAACTCCTCTGGCTTTTCATAATATCCAAACACTCTTTTTGTGCCTTGTGTTTTCCTTTTGTATGACATCTGCAGTCAAACCACAACCTCTGTGGTTGTTTTACTTACTTTATTATGTAAAGTATTATAAATAAATAAATAATAAATTATAATTTATTATTAAATCATTAAATCATTTTCTAAAATATTTTTTACATTTCGAGATAACATTTCATTTATAACAGAAGGGAAAAAGAAGCACTTTTTAAATCTAAATGTTTTCAGTCTGTGGTAGGTTTTTTGTAGTTTTTTTTCAGTTAAGCCTTTGGCGTCAATTAATTAGTGGTGGAATGTGACTAAGTACATTTACTTAACTACTCTACTTAAGTACAAATGTAGGTACTTTTGAGTATTTCCATTCAGTTCTGCTATTATTCTACTCCACTACATTTATTTAACAGCTTTAGTTACTAATAATTTAACAGATCCAAAACATTAAAGCTTTTTCTAAAATACTGTCGTTTACTCAGTAAGTAATTATATTTATAAATGGACAGTATGTGTGTGTTCCCACAGTCTGTGTTTGATGATGATTTACAGCTACTTAGTCATTAAATGGGTCATGATTTGATTCCAGCCAACCTTGAGACAAACGGTAATCTGTGTAGTATTTGTTCTGTCTTGAAGTGATCTTATTAATTTTGTTTTGTGCGTCTGTCTCCTGGCAGATGTGGATGAGTGCTCAGAAGGCAACGGCGGATGCCAACAGATTTGTGTCAACATGATGGGCAGCTACGAGTGCCGCTGCAGAGAAGGATTCCTCCTGAGTGACAACCAGCATACCTGTATCCAAAGGCCTAAAGGTTAATCACGTACACACACACACACACACACACACACAGACAAACACACTCTCACTATCATACAAAGCAAAATACATACATATAGAAAACAGTAATTATAGCGCAGGAGAGGAAGGAAGCCTGAATTCAGATTCCTCTCCTGTTTTATTAAAATAAAAAAGTTAAAATACACATAGCACAAACACTCTCTCTATATATACACAACACATATAGGCAAGCATAAATAGTGGGAAAAGAAATAAAAACAGAAATGCAAACCTATAAGTAGATATATACAACCAAAGAAGCATCTTGGCATAAAGTTCAAGATTAAAAATGATTTAGTGGTATATTCAATGAATTGCAAAAATGTGGACTTCTATATTTGATTTTAAAAAATGGATGTCTTGTATGGAAATAAGGTGAACCGAAATGTTTGAATTGCCTAGTTGAATAAGAATGACTGTCTGAAGATAAGATAAAAAAGGATATGGAATGTATCAGGGAGATGTTGGAGCCTGCAATTTGTGTGTTTAAACATAAATAAGCTTGCATGGAAGAACATTTACCATGTCCATGGAGAGCAATAAGTATTTTATATACATATATGTTCAATATGTTTTTTATAATTCAATCTTACATCTTTGATAATTTCTAGGACTTTAAGAAAATAGCAGGACACATGTTGTTCAGTGATGCTGCATTTGACTTGACTTTGACTGGATATGTGGTGAAAGCTCATTATTGAGGTAATATCTGGATAGTGAATCTTTATTCAAATACAAATGTTCAGTTCTGAGTGTTTGAGATGATGAGCTGTGCGGATTTAAACTAAGAATGGGATCGGCCCTAACAGGCCTAAATGAAAGGTGAGCAAAGGTAAGTGTCTCCAGTCTGAGGTGGAAAAAAAAAAGAAAGGGGATAAATCTGTTTTTGTTTTCCTCCCACCCTTTCAAATTGAACCAATCTAGTGCTTGGCAGCATTTTAAGGTATCAGTGGTATGAGAGTGGCCTGCGGGGGACTGTGAGCAGAGAAAACAATTAAAGGTGTAGCCTGGGGCAGACACACCTCTTGTTTATAGAGCATTCCTGTGGGATGGAGACGTGACAGGCGAAGGTACAGAGCCAACCTGCTCTGAGGCTTACTCATCAGACACAGCAGCACTGTGGACATACATTCATTTATAACGTCACAGCTGTATTTAAAGTAATGTAAGCTGTCAGAATAATATCTCTGTTATGCATATTGTCTCGTAGCAGTTTTCTTCAGTCCATGAAACAACAGCACAGTGGTTGTAGTTTGTAACACACCCCATCTAGTTTGTTAAAACCACACAAAAACAGTATATTTAATGTAGTAAAAAGTAAAAAGTTCCTCAGCTTTGCCAGCATTTTTCACAAAACCGACTGAATAACAGTTTGCTGGTTTTAGTCCGTTTGGACTGTTGTAAATTGTTCTAGTTTCAGCCTTCAGTCTTATTAACAAATTACATTTTTGATGGAATCACAAAGACAAAATGTGCTTTTTATTTACCTAATAAATCTTATTATCATCGTGTGCACTCTAAAGGACGACCAACAGGACTGAAATGTTTATTCTTTTAAATAATAATGATACTACAGCATACTTTTCCATTTTTCAAAGGAGCATAAAAACCTTATCTGGACATGTTTTTTGGAAATGTTTGTGTCTAAGAGTCAGGCCTCTGGCTGGGCGTTTCCCATGGCAACAGTTGACTGACAACAGAAAGCCGCTGTTGCTAGGAGACAAACTGTCAATTTCCGTGGTGACCTACAGACTGGAGCGTGTCAAAATCTGATGATATGATGAAATACAAGACATTATTTTTCTACAAGCTCACATAGCGTTAAATAACTGTTAGTGACTTCTGTCCCTGTTATAACATTAAACAAGCGAGCTAGGCTAACTAGCTGCCACTTGGAAAGTATTTGCCAGTTAGCCTACCTTGCTAATGTTAGCAGCCCAGTTGACATTACGTCAGCTGTCTTGATTTGTGGTTATAGATTATTATTATTATAAAAGGGCAGGTGCTTTCAAAAAATACTCCGCAGGTAATTGGATGAACTGTCTGCTAACTTCAACCAGTTAGATCAATGAACCTTATAATGTAGTCAAACTCTTACTAAAGTTAGTAGAAGAGTGAAAACTGTTTTTTCATTGAAAAAAGCCCTTAGTGCCTTTCTTTGCTCTTCTTTAAATAAAGAAAAACTCTCCAGTTCTGATATAACTGACTAAATAAGTGCAAGTCAAAGCGAATACCACTGATTTCTTATCAAATAAAACTTTTCATTTCAGTTGAGAGTCTGCTGGAGATTTAGGTCATTGGGATTTTGACTGAATATAAATATCCTTAATTTTGTTCCCTGTGCTGGTCTGTGTTGTGCTGTTGCTCTGCTAGTTGTTTGTTACAATGCTTCCATTCTTTGTTTGGTTGATTTATCTATAGCTCGGAAAAGCAACATTAGAGAAAATGCACAGCTGTTATCATTATCACCCAACACATTTATTCAAGGAGTAATTATCCAGCTGTCTACAGATTTCTCAGCTCTCCCAGTTCGGGACTGTGTTGTAGATATTTTGGTTCCTGGGGTTTGCAGCACTTCTCATTCAGAAAGCCCTGACAGCATGTACAGCAAGGACCCGAGTGTCTCTTCATTTCTGCCGTCCTCGTCTCTCCCCGCTCTTTTGTAAGATAACTTCTCATGCTGGGAGTCATTAGACCGTGATGTTCCTAAGTCCCCTGGACGGTGAACCGAGGATCTTGGAAGTCTGGTTTATGAGATCAGTCTGGCCTAGTGAACTGTCAATGTTTACATTTCATAAACGCAGTGTTATTTGAGTGGAGTGAAAAGCTGGATCATGTGTTTCAAAGCACTACGACTATATCAGTGCTGTCAGAAGCAGACTGTGAGCAGTGGTCCGGTTTTGCCAAGCCCCCCGCTCCTCCCCTCCCTTTTCTTGATAAAATGCCCTCAGTTCCTGTTAATTTTCCATTTTCATATTAATTTTTTTTGCTTTATTGCCTCCAGATGAGACCCATTTGGATCAAGAGATTAAAGCTAACATAAATCTACAAACTTCCTTCACTCATCAAATAGACCCCCTTTCATTGTTTCATTATTTTTGAAAGATTAACAGACAGAACAACTGCTCATCTGCTTATTATTACTGCTCTTATTACAACAGTGTATGTCTGAAGGAAAATGAAAGTAGTGAGGAAGTGGCTCGCCCAGTTATTGGACAATAACCCTGCAGAATTGTTGCAAATATCACTTTCCTCGCTAACTGAAAAATTATGCAAAAGTGGCTCAGGGAAAAAAAAAAATCATTCTGAAAATTATAACTGATCTAATCTCCCAGCCAAGTCTGTTTAAATGCAACCCTCCATCCATTCTGCCAAGGCTCCTCTTAAAGAGCAAAGCCTGGGGTGCAGTTTGCTCATGAGCTTTATTGTTCTCATTAAAAAGACATCAGCTTTCCATTTCTTTCGTTAATGGGTCAGGTGTTCCCTGGGCAAGTTCTGCGAGTCTTTTTGCGGACAGTGGAGAGCTGGTCACTGCAGTGTATGGCGCTAACAGTCTGTTTCCCCTGCTGGTAGGAAGCCCTTGTTAGCAGTGAGCCTGTGCCAATTAGGCAGCAGGGGTCTGCCAGCCTCTCAGCTAATGACAAGGCTGCTGCTGGCCTGTCTCTTATTAGACCTGCCCCTGCCCCCCTGAACAGGAATAACTCCGGCCAAATGAAGGCTCCATCGTCTAGCTGGACAAAATGTAACAGTTCATTTATTCTCTCCAAACATTTCTCCCAGTCAGGAAATAAAGCCTTTGAAAGGCCAGCCAAGGTGCTTAGTGGTTGATAGGAATGCCATTTAGGTCAAGAAGGGTTCCACTGCTTTGCGTTTGATTTATTGTCTCTTTTATATAGGAGGATAACAGGGAAATACTATATGTGCGTGAGACGGGATCCAGCACATTACAATTCTGGAATTTCAGGCTCAGTCAACCCACACATCCATAATTTTAGTCCTGTACATTTCTGAATATCCGGTAGGGCAATTACCTTAAGTGTGCACTGATGGGCTATTACGTAAGTCACAAATAGTAACTTTTGTATTAATTCTTTTTGTCCTAAGCTCACAATACACAAAATATGATTGTATGATTTGAAAGTTAAATCATCATCTCTGCTGAATTCATTGTGACACAGCACAGCTGAACAAGTTGAACTAGCACTAGTAACTTTTAATAAGAAGTCGAGGCCTCTGGATCAAACTTTCTGTCACTCTGCCAATCAATATTGCATAAGTGTAGCTGGCGTTGTGTAGAAAGATGTGGGGATAGCAGCAAGGAGTCTGAAAGTTCACACCAGCCTGATAATTACATTATAGCTTCTCATTGCCAAGAAAACTTTGAACATATGAGTCCCGAGGCGTCATTGTCACCTTTCATTGCTGGAAGAAAGCTGTTAATAGGCCGCTGCACTCGTGTCTCCAAAGTGCACAAGCACAAACAGATGCAGATAGATTAAGAGCAAGCCAGGTTTGAGGTCAAGAAGGAAATCTACCATGCAAAATTGATCCTGTATCATTTTATTGGAATTTTCTAAAGCAAAAACAAAAAGAATCATGTTAATCAATAACTTGTGTTCTGTGTGGGCCAATAAAACACAATATGTATTTTGTCACCTGACTGTGGATACAAGCATTGCTCTTTTTCTTTACAGTAGGCCTTGTCTTTCCAGGAAATGTTTACTTTGTCAACGAGAACCTCTTCCTGTGTTTACAACTTTCATTAGCTTCCCAAAGGGGTTGTTACCCCTTGTGCAGCCAATCTCCTCTCTGCCTCTGTCGCTCTCTCTAATTCAAATATGACCACAATGGACACAGTGGACATAATCATACACACTCACAAGCACACGACTCAATAATTTTCAATTCAATCCTGCTTGAGGCGCATTCAGACACGTTCTGTTATGACATTTAGATGCAGACTGTGGCACGTTG